CGAAAGAAAATGCAAGATATTAAAGAAGGGATTCGTCAAGGAATACCTAGTCAACATATCAATTTCTCAAGTGGTCGGTAGGGTGGATAAAGTGGCTTGTTGTGAAATTCGAAACTCTGACAGGTTTAGTTGGACAAGATTCTTTCGTTTCACAAAGATGTGAGATGTCATTGTGAATGTCTGAATAGGTTATCATGCTCAATTTAAACTGGGACGCACACATCACAAATAATTGAAAGCCAACAAACAGAGAGCAACTCTCTCCGTCATTTTATTTGCTTTATTTTATTTACGAGGTCACATAATTTGCCATAATAATAATTATCGATTGGTGTGTGTGTGTGTACTAGAATTGCAGTTAAAATAGCACGAAGAATAATTACGCCTCTAACTGAAAAGTAATTCCACTCATCTGTCTGTGCCTCACATAGTTCGTTTGGGTGCACAGTAATGAAGTGATCGTGAAGTCGACTGATATCTGGGCATCAACCATATATTGTATTCACACATGAGGTGGGAAGTGACTAACTCTTGGTTTTATGAGTGAATACAACAGACAAGTTCTTTCACATGAACCCCGCTATCCTAAATCTCACATGACGGAGTGAGATTTAGGATAGTGGAGTGCTTGGAATCTAGTCTGTCAATATGGTCAGGCGATACAACAATTATCTAGACACCAGGTAATCCGAGATTTCAAGAGCATAGTCAGATTCGTTTGACTATCTACAGATTTGGAAACGAGGTATTGACAAAGGAATCATAACTTCAAATAAACATATGAATCACATAATAGAAAATGTGTTACTTGATTAGGATTATATTTGGTCGGTGAGAGGAAATACACAGACTCTGAGAACGACAATCAGACAAATCTGAATGGAACATCAAAACAGAATAACAAGGGTTTGTAGACATCCTCACGACTGCAATTAACGTGAATTTCATCAAAACTCACAAGCAGCTATCCTAATAAGATTGGGATAATGGTAACCATCTTGCCTACAATACTCGAAATGAAGTCAGCTAACGTTGTGGATTCCATGAGTTTAATACACTAACTGTCAGTCTTACACTCAATTCCATCACATGTCGACTGATCGCACTAGCAAGCAAATGTGGATCAATGTGTTTCAGGCGATTGAGAATCTGTTCAGGAAATCCACTTCACTGTGGACACGAAAAAGAAGGCTTCATGCACACGGCCCAATGAAGAATGATACATACTTAATACTCACGGAGATGACTCAGTCAAATATCCCGTGTCTATTTGACGTACGGATTACCAAACAAAGTGAAGACAGTGTTCTGTGAATTGATTTATCATGATAGCATAATTATCGAGGAATAATTCGAGTACCACCTCGCCAAATGGTCACATTGCACACCTTCGTGTCAAGCACACTGACCTCGACAATTCACAAATTCGGTGTCATTCAGTCATTGAACCTGCTTCTTCTCAAATTTGTTGATGAGCTTGATAACCATAGCAAGACATCTGATGACTGACTCTTCTCAACAATTAATTCTACATACGTAAATTCCAATTGTATATCTGGGTGAATCGAGTCAAAACGAATCACTTCATCTTCTTCTGTGATGCTGGACGTCCATCCAGCACGACTTTCCCTCTCTTGAATTCATTGAGTGGGCATGAGTGGAATGGCGTTTGAAAACTTGGAATCCAGGAGTAAACTTTGAAACGTGTCTAAGTAACTGAGGCCAACCACAGCGTCCAGTTATTTGTTGTCTCGAGTATTTTGCGCGTAGAGGGACAGTAGTTATCTTAGTTCTGTTGGCTGAAATTCTGTTTTGCAATCATAGTTGTACATACCATTATTCACTCAGTATCACGTCTCAATAATTAGTAGGGAATGCAAAGCTAAACAAGGCTTGAGCTTTTGAGATATGTTTGCGTGTTTAACTTTGTAAGCGAAATCTAAAGCTTTCCCATACCTGTAAGCTCCATAACCATTGCATTTGCAGTTGATCCAGTCGGAAGTATAATATTTCAATCATGTTAACCATCTCTGGGATTAGCAGTTGATGTTTATGTTATATATCTGGGAGATTACTTTATGACAAATCAATAGATCAGAGTCTTCGAATTCTCAAAATAATTCCGGTGATTCACTTTTGTTTCAAAATTCATTGTATTCGGATATATTGCGTTTCCGCTTAGTCAAAGGCTTGTATTCACTCATAAAACCAAGAGTTAGTCACTTCCCACCTCATGTGTGAATACAATATATGGTTGATGCCCAGATATCAGTCGACTTCACGATCACTTCATTACTGTGCACCCAAACGAACTATGTGAGGCACAGACAGATGAGTGGAATTACTTTTCAGTTAGAGGCGTAATTATTCTTCGTGCTATTCTATCTGCAATTCTAGTACACACACACACACCAATCGATAATTATTATTATGGCAAATTATGTGACCTCGTAAATAAAATAAAGCAAATAAAATGACGGAGAGAGTTGCTCTCTGTTTGTTGGCTTTCAATTATTTGTGATGTGTGCGTCCCAGTTTAAATTGAGCATGATAACCTATTCAGACATTCACAATGACATCTCACATCTTTGTGAAACGAAAGAATCTTGTCCAACTAAACCTGTCAGAGTTTCGAATTTCACAACAAGCCACTTTATCCACCCTACCGACCACTTGAGAAATTGATATGTTGACTAGGTATTCCTTGACGAATCCCTTCTTTAATATCTTGCATTTTCTTTCGAAAACTACCATGCAGACGTTTCATTCTTCATATTTCCGTGTTAAGTTGTGAGCACTACTTATCCTTCAATGTTTTAATGTTGGGAATGACATTTCGGTGTGTGCAAATCATCGGAAGCGTTCCATATGTTGTTCAAAAGTGATGCACAGTTCCTAATATTCAGTGATCAGAATCACCTGACTTGTTCTCTGTTAGGCTAGTTTCCTATTATTCCGCTGACCTTACACATGAAGAAAAGTACAAAATTATTTATGTTTATAATGAGAATTATAATAACAGTACATTCTTTTGAGAAGATATTGGGTGATATTTTGAAATATTTCTAGAAATCTTGGTGGTCTTACACATGTGAAGTGCAAATTAGCTGATATCCATTGGTCAAAGTATTATATAAATACAAGTTTGCAATTCATTATGCAAATACTGTAAGGAAGATGGCGCAGAATATCTTATGTGTACTGTTGTTTATTATTCAAGCGTTCACGATATTGAGCGAGACAAGTGAAGCAGGTAAGTAGAATTTGATGTGATTATTATTGTTTCAAGTAGGATTTGACATATTTTAAAGCAGCTCTGTCCCATTGGAGTATCATATTTTAAATGTATTCATCACTTCACTAAAATAACAATGATGTCGAAGTTAAACTGATTTACATAAGTTATATTGAGCTGTGAAATTTGAGATTGGACATAGGTGTTTCTGATTTATTCTATGAAATTGGTTGACTATGACAACAGCAGTCACTGTAGACATTAGGAACACGTAGATGGAAACACTTGAAGACAAACTCATAATATTCCACTGAATGATCGACACCTCATGAATACACACAGTCATATACATAGACACATATGTATATACGTTGATGAGAGATACTGATATTTCATAGGGAAATTATGCAGAAGAGGTCGTAATGCAATCGAGAACGTCTAATTTAACCTCCTCGACATTAAAATATAACACACAAAATAGGTGAAGAAGATATGATTGAGTGCACATATAACACTCTTCATGTTCATGGATTTTAGTCCTAATATCATCTGGTGTAGTTTGAAATGAAAGAGAGAATATGAAGCCTTGTTGAGCAGACTGGTAGTGACATTCATTGCAGCGAATGATGTGTTGCTGAAAACGTCTGGCCAGAGGAATAAAACTGGTCTGTTAGACAGTGTGTAGATCTATGGTCATTAATAATTCAAATCGTCTTCACATTTAATTGTCATATGTTCAACTAGAATGCTAAACGGTCAGGATGAAAATCAAAAATGAATGCGCACAAACACACTATATATTGGAGAAAATCACATAAATAGAGGTGATATCGCAGTAAAGATACAAACCAAATGCAACCATTTGTAAATTTACAAAATAAAACCAAGTAAGTACAAGGTGTATTTTAATGCAGATGCACCAACCACTCGGTGTGAGCAGAGAGCAGCGTTGCATCGCTCAGTCTGCATGCTGTCAGACATGGTTGTGATCACTGCTAAATTGTCGTGAGTGTCTCCACTCAGACGTCACGTCCTGCATATTTTCTGACCGATTCGCACGTATCCTTGTTTTCATCCAGTGGTGAATTTCGACGACGAAGAGGAGATCTATGGTGAGTCTAGCAATCTGATATCTATCGCCATCATGAGTTTGTGTTGTGAATTCTGCATGTCAAACTTTTATAAAGAATACTGTGAATAGTGTATGTTAACAGGCGACGATCGGTTTTTCTTATTTTCAGGGGTCAAAAATATCTATCCATTCGATTGCTTTATTCTAGGTGAGAAGTACGAAATCTTTTCCACTTTCACTTTCACCTATATTCTGAAGACAAATGAGTGATATCAGTGAGCGGAAATGCTGAATGCTTTTCATGAAATCTCACCTGTGATAGTTATTAGACAATATGTGTGAGGAGAAAGTCAGATGCGCGTGTGTGGAGCAGGCTAATGACGTGAGGCGGAAAATGCGAATCGAAGTGTGTGTGAGCCTGATGGATAACACATAGGTTCACATGCTATGTAGGATATGAGTATATTAGTTTTAAGTATTCAGGTGAACATTTGTCCCATGTGAAAAGAAAAGAGACAGTGTGTATCGCAGAAGCACGAGCAAGAAACACAGACTGATTTGTGCGCCACACATCGCTTCAAGAGACTGTGACAAATCTGTCAGTCACTCTGGAATTCATATTCCGACACTGGTGCTATTTGTGATACTGTTTATTTTCAATCTCTTTCATTTCATTGATGAAAAATTTTACAGAAGAAGAAGCGACAACACAAGGTGAGTTTTGAGATTACATGAACATATATTCGACTTGACGTGAGACAACACCCTTGTCTCTCTTACTCACGTCCAGTCAGATTATCTTGATGATGTGCGAAGTGGAATTTTGAAGTTTATCACGTCAGTGGTGTGACAACTGATGAGACGTCTGTTCTACTTCTCTTCTCACAGGGGCACCAGTCACCACAACCACAACAACCGAACACGTTGAAGAAGAAACAAAAACGGGTAAGTCCTTTCAAATACTGAATGACACTGCTTAAATTACATTCCTACTATGCAGAACCACTTCGTGTCACATTTCATACTCCATTCGAAGTGTGTTCGGATTCGTGCAGTTAGGCTCAATTCGATGTGGTTATACGAATGGCTTGTGTAAAGGACTTTTGAGCCAGTCGGAATAGTGCACAACACGAGATGCTTGATTCGCTTCTCTTCCTGCACAGCACACAGTCATTATCGTGAGCGTCCACACTCAGACGTCACCTCCTCCATAGTTTCTAACCGATTCACACGTGTGCTTCTTTCCTTCCTCTAGTGAATTATGATGACGATTTGTATTATTGGAGTAAGTGTAAACGTTCTTGTCAAGCTTCATCATGTTGTTGGTTTGTGCTGTCTGTCTTCATTTATATTTTTCATATATTCCTTGGTTTACTTACTCAATAGAGGACGTGTTAATCGTCATGCGTCTATTTTGTAACAATTATATGCCCGGACTGACGAATACTTTTCCACTTTCACTTCCACCTATAGTCTGAAGACAAATGAGTGATATCAGTGAGCGGAAATGCTGAATGCTTTTCGTGAAATCTCACCTGTGATAGTTAGTTAGACAATATGTGTGAGGAGAAAGTCAGATGCGCGTGTGTGGAGCAGGCTAGTGACGTAAAGCGGAAAATGCGAATCGAAGTGTGTGTGAGCCTCATGGATAACACATAGGTTCACATGCCATGTAGAATATGAGTATATGAGTTTTGTGGATTCAGGTGAATATGCGGGCCATGTGAAAGGAAGACAGTCCGTGTGTATCGCAGACGCACGAGCAAGAAACATAGACTGCTTTGTGTGTTTCACATTGGTGTGAGATTGTTTGAAGTGTCTTGCAGTCAATGTTCATTTGATTTCCTTAACGTTTCGTTATTTCATTTATTTTTAGATTCTCTTAATTGATTTCTTTTCCATCATGTCTTTTATTGTAAATGTATTTTAGTTGTTATTTTTCGGGCCTTAGCTGCATCTGTTATTTTTATTTTTCAGTGCCTGTTTAGGATGCGGTTTTGTTCCTTCTCAGTTTGCGAGAATTGTTCAATCAGTCTTTTACCTAATACCGATTGAGCACCTATCAATTTTTTTCTCTACACACCAACTATTGGGATACATTTCCCATTTCACTTTAAATATGTAACTTAAGTTTCTGTAATCTCGAAAGTTTTTTTCTTATCTGTTCACATCCAGTTAATAAATAACAATTTTGCACAATTCATCTTTTCTATTTCATCCTTTTGCACTTGTCTTTCTATGACTGAACGGGATCTGCCGATAGACAGCTTCACTGGACGGATTTTCACACTGAATAATGTCCGCTTTATACCAATAGTCAATCCGTCATAGGATTTCATATGCCAAACACTTTCAATGGACAGCACACAGCGCATTCACACTGGCATTCTCTCTGTTGACCTGTTGATTGTGATAGAAACTGTCTAGTAGACAGCAGATATTCACCTGCAGTTAACAAATATTTCTAGCAGTATTTGTTGGGGGCCTTTCTCGTTTTCGGCAATCTCTTTGCACACACAGATAACGAGCCTTCAATGATTGACTTGATTTTCGGAAAGTGATTTGAATAAGAGGGCAATCTTGTGTTCGAACTTGCACGAATTTCACTAATTTGATTCAGTCAACATTAGGAGGAATCTACAAGTCAGAATGATATCATCGCATTTCTTGAAACTATCTGCTAAGCGTCGAAATTCATAGGCGAACATAAGAAATATGTTAAAGTTTGTCAAAAGAAGCGTTTATGTTCTCCCTGAACACGTCACTATTGATGCAAGAACGGTTCACCTCTTGTTGCATCAAGCAAATAGTTTGAAGTGAGGTTGAGTACAACAATCCTATTAACGCGGAAATTTCTTTACTGCACGTCACTTTATACTCAGGTTAGGAAACTGCCTTAGAGGGATGAGAGAAGCTTTCCGAAATACGTCGCCACCAACAATTTTTATTGTATTCCACACCATCTTACTTTTGTCACATTTTTCCAATGTTCATTATTGTTAATGCACACGTTAAAGCTGTCTCCCATCACACATGTTCCAATTCAATTACACTGGATTTCGAAACACGTACCATACCGGAGTTCAAGTAGTCATTATCGCTGAGCGTATTCATTGAAATATTTCATAATAATATTGTCAATACACAACAGTCCCAAATTATGCTTTCAAATAAATTCAATACATGTGATGCCTCATTGAATTCTTTCACAGACAAAGTTAACACTCTCATGTTACAGTGTTCGGGAGACAAACCATGCATTTGCACCCACTCATCCTTACATCTGGCTTCGTGTATGTGTACACACATTTCTATCTGCTGACGTTTATGCCACTGTTGTAAGAACATTCAATTACAATCCACTCAAACACTTCTGCATAGTGTGAACAGTTTGCTGAGATGTACTCCAAATCAATTTGTCAGTACAATATACTCTGCCTGTGGACATTGTCTCATGCACATTGCACACCTTCGTGTCAAACACACTGACCTCGACATTTGACGACCTCTGTGTCACACAATATATGAACTCTCCTCGTCTCAAGTTTGTTGGTGAGCTTCATAACCATATCGAGACATCTGCTGACTGACTCTTCTCAACACTTATTTCTACATACGTAAATATAAGTTGTGTACCTGGGTGAATCGAGTGAAAACTAATCATTTCTACTTGTATAATGCTGGACGTCCATCCAGCACGACGTTCGCTTTCTTGCCTTCATTCAGTAGACATGAGTGGAATGGCGTTTAGAAACTTGGAATCCAGGAGGAAACTTTGAAACATGTCTTACTTAAGCCAACCACAGAGTCCAGTTATTTGTAATCTCAAATATTTTGCACACATAAGAACAATAATTATCTTTGTTCTGTTGGCGGAAAATTATTTTCGCCACCATAGTGATACATACCATTATTCACTCACTATCATGTCTCCAAATAATTAATCAGCAATTGATGGCTGAAAAGGATATGTGGTCCGAAATGAATATTTGGCAACGAAGAAGTCGATCATACGTTATCTCTTATGCATAAAATTGGGTTCAGCATTGAATTTAAATTTGTGAATTCACAGATATTGCAGCCAATCTAGTTTAATCCTCAGTCTCAAGGTCACATTAAACCAAGAGTTTAAATTTTCCTCGTTAATTATCAATATATATTTTACTGAAACGAATTGCTTCACCACTACACTACCCAATGGAGTTTCACGCTAACACAACAAGGAAACGTTTTCCTGTGATCTCATGATCTAATGAAATAATTGACTTTATTGCTGCTCATATTTTCCCTGTTTCAGGGAAATAGAAACACTTCATCAAAATTGTTCTAATATAATTACATACAGAGTTAGTGGAAATGAATCTAGTGACTCATGAAACAAGCAATTTAATAGGCTACCAGTAAAATATCGCCCATTAAGAAACGATGAATATGAAAATACTTCTTCGCATCAAATAGCTTTTAGTAAGATACATAATCGAATGTGTAAGTGGAGGATAAGAAAATTTGAATTTACGGCTGTTTTCATCTTGCAGAGCCATACCATCGGTTCAGAAATGTGACTAACAGTCCTGATTTTTTCTGTGGTGATATTCATCGCAATAAACGAAAAACCTCAGTCGTGATATGTTGATGATGACGATCACATGTTTTCAATGCAGTTTTACGCAGTGGGGCAATATGAGTAATTAAGGCGGCCTGCTTAAACGTTGGGTTATCAGAATCTTCCATCACTTATATTGCATCTGATTACTTGGATTTATTCTCTTTTAATTATTCAGTAATGTGTCCAAATCGTATAACTTACTCTCGCGATTGTTTAAAATGTTTTCACCTGGCTGATTTACGAGTTTCTATTAAACCTGAGAAAAAGTATCATGGTGAGTGGCAATGACCCATAAATTGTGCTCCAATGCATCAGATGAGTGTTCCTGTGATTATGGGCACAAATTGCAGGTCATTATCGAACAAGATTAATTATTTGGATGCTCTATTATGTTCAAATATATATCGTGATACAGGTGTAATAACGCTTCAAGAAACTTGTCTCCAAGATTCCTAAAGCTCAGTTTTCGACACAGAATTTTCAACATTTGTGCGGCAGTTGAAATCGTCACACTCCATGTATCACACAAAGCAAGAGAAGAAAGTGGGAGAAATGCATAATATAGACGGTAAACAGAGGTGTGAGACAAAGGTATAGTAATAACGAAGAACAAAACAGTTTCATTGGAAATCATAAGTCACAAGGAGTGGATGCATCTGCATCATTAATGAGAACGATTTTGAGCCATGTCAACAATTGTTTCCAACCATTGGTTTTACCGTCCCGAGGACCACAGCCAGACAGGAAGTCTACACCTTCCTACGTGGCTTAGACTAACTGTTGTAGATTTCATTGACTGGTGCCATGTTTTCGTTTTGTTTGTTCGTTTCGTTTTGTCTGACCCTATATCAGATAACCTCGCCAGCTCGTAACAGAGACCCACTGTTTAACTGTCATCATTGTATTGTACAGGTATTACCCACAATTTATGGAAAGCTAAACAAGAGAACCGTTTCACACCTTTCCAAGCAGATTGCACATGAATGTTACTCTGAGGAGAATTTCAGGAATCTTAGGAGCATGCTCAAAGACACAAGGTGGGACTTGTTTAGTGGAGACTCTCTTGATGACACTATCTCCAACATTGCGTGTTATCTCTAATTTTATCCTGTTACCTGTTGTCCCAGAGAAACACTTTTCATCAGATTTGAGCGCTTCTCCTTCCCTCGAATGAATATGCCTCGCAGACAAAAAGAAAAGTTATATAAAATGAATGATAACATTGGTGTGGAAAGAGTTAACATCCTAATGAAGTCTGAAATGCACAGATTCAATTCAATTTATAACCAAAAGTTTATAACCTGTAAAAATGCCTCTTTTATATGGAAACATTTTAAAGAAATTACTGGTGGTAAGCAGATTAATAGTATTGTGGTGAGTGCTACTTATAATCCGATATAAATAGTATATCAGAAACGAAGTAACAGTATGTTTGGCACACTGGAAAGAGCAATCAAAGAAGAGAACCATGAGAAGAATGTTGCCATATGATGCAGAATCCAAAAAGCTATCAAACGAGACGATATTCGACCAATTCGTCAAGGATGTGGTAAAGATGTGCAAATGGCTGGTTGAGAATATGATATACTAAATTTAGCTATGTACCATACACGTTTCATCAAATAAACATTCCTTTCAGTTTCCTCGGTCTTTTCTTCTTTACATCTGGTGTCGCTGCCTCTGCTGGAGATGAAGGTGCCGTGGCCGCAGGTGTTGGAGGAGGGAGATGTGCGGACGTTCCTCAGGGATTTGGAAGCTGTCGCGGAGCTGGTTGGAATGCAGGAGAAGAAGGCGAAGCTGGTTGTCTTGGAAACGCTGCTGAGTGGCCACGCGAAGGCTGCGTACGACAACGCTCGGGAGCTGGAAGGTGAGGCGGCGTGGGACAAGGTCGTCGAGAGGCTCGTGTGCAAGTTCGACAGCCCTGCGGACAGACAAGAGGCGCTGTAGAAGTTTCGGACGCTGAGACTTGGCCAGGATGGGGATCCGTTGGTTCTCGCAGTAACGCTGACGAATCACCTGTGACGCGCGTTACCCACCCTAGACGAAGATTCACGGGAGCAGTTGCTTGCATCTCAGTTCCTCGAATGCGTCCCGACAGACATCGCTCATCAGTTGCAGCTAGTTAACGCAGCCCAACCAATGGATGTCTATGAAATGGCCAAGGTGACAAGGCAGATAATGACTTCGCATGTTGCTCCAGTGATGTCGGAGGGCCAAGATTCCAAGAAGATCGAAGACCAGATTGAAGAGTTGAAACAACAGGTGGCGGCTATGCAGATAATGAAAAGAACAAACAACAGATGCTTTGCTTGCGGAGGAACCGGTCACTGACAGAGAAACTGCCCGAAACGAAGACAAAAAAACTTTAAACGGTACAGTCTTCCTTCTTTTTCTCGCTCGCATTTGGAGGTGGTCGGGTTAGTCGAAAGAGGTTCAGTGTACGGGAGATTACGGGTGAACCAAAAAGAAATAGTTTGTTTGATCGACACAGCGGCCGCAGTTTCGTTGATAGATAGAGAACAGTGTAAGGAAATAAGGCCGTGCACATTAGCAGTTCAGACTGTAGGAGGACATCCGTTGCACATTCTTGGCGTTTC